CAGCCAAAAATGTAAATTCTGTCAGAATTTTCTCACCTTCACGTCGGTCCAAACTTGGATGACTTTATTTCTTTAGCAGAACACAGAAGTCATACAAGTTTAAAACAAAAATGTAAAGCTAGGGGTCAAAATGTTTGTAATAAGATTTTTTGTTTATGTTTTTGAAAAAATTTACAAGTACATTAACTTATGCTCACCAATAGCATTTATTTGATGAAAAATACAGTAAAAACACTAATATTGTGAAATATCATTAGAATAAAAAACTGTATTCTATTTTAATATATTTAAAAATGTAGCTTATTCCTGTGAAAGCTGAATTTTCAGCATGATTACTCCAGTCTTCAGTGTCTCATGATCCTTCAGAAATCATTCTAATATGCTGATTTGCTTCTAAACATTTCGTATTATTAGCAATGCTGAAAACAGTTTTTCTTGCTTAAATTATTATTATTATTATTTTTTTTTTGTGGAAACTCTGATACATTACCATTAAAATGTTTGGGGTAAGCAAGTTAGAAAGAAAGAAAGAAAGAAAGAAAGAGAAAGAAAGAGAGAAAGAAAGACTTATTCAACAAGCATAAATAAAATGGATCAAAATGACAGAATAAAGACATTTATAATAAATAAAAATTTTTGAACTTTCTATTCATCAAAGGAAAAACATCACGGTTTCTACAATATTAAGTAACAAAAACTGATTTTAACAGAAATAATATTAAGAGCCATTATTAATAACTGAGCATAAATAATACAAATAATACTTGAGCATCAAATCATGATTTCTGAAGGATCATGTGACACTGAAGACTTAAATTATATTTTAAAATATATAGAAACAGAAAACAGTTCTCTTAAATTATAACAGTATTTCACATTATTATTACTTTTTACTGTATTTTTGATCAAATAAATGCAGCTTTGGTGTGCATAAGATACTTCTTCCAAAAACAACTGTACAACAATTTTAAACTTATAGCCCATGTTGTATATATAAAATATGCCATTAATATGAATTAAAATGATCTACAATGAACATGCAGAAGGTTTCAACATCTGATTAATATAAGAACATAATATCATTACGGAGGACAAAACGAATGTTTTCAAATGTTTCTAATCTGATTATGAAACAGTCATTCAAAAACAATATTCTCTTTGAGGTCACGTAGGAGGCCAAACGTCTCATTTTGCTCCAACTATATTCAAGCAGACATTCAAGATGTAGGAAGGCATTTTAAAAAAGGTTCAGATTAGTGAAACAAGTGTTTGTGAAAGGTCAAGCTGTGGACATTAGGTCGTACACACTGCATGCACTGCATGGCCGGCGGTGCCACTCGTGGTTAGTGATATCATTATGGCAGTTTTGCGTGGAGGGATTAGGGCTCTCTCGCTAATGGAGAGCGACAGCGGCTCCTTGTTGCCGAAGCACACTGCCCCGGAACATTTGGAGGTGGGGTGCGCTGGGTGGGGGGCATCGGGGGTGGCCCGTTCACCTCCACAGCGCCAGTGTGCCGTTAGTAAACATTAGTTTAGCCCAACTCTTTGTGCCTGTGGGTCATCTGTATGTACACAGTAACGTGAATATCAAAATCAATAAAAGCGTGATCAGGTTTTTTGGTGGATTAAATGCATTCATTAATATTAATCTTTAAATTAAACATTATTAATAGTGCACAACAGAAATAATAGTATTTGACCAGGTAACATGAGTGCATGCTGCTTTTTGATTTAGTTGCTGATTTACAACTAATACACACTATGATGTAAAGCTTTTGAGGAGCCTGCTGAGGTCTTTTCTGTCTGTGTTTGGCTGCAGGCTTTGACTTTGAGGATTATGAGGTCTCCATAGGGAACAGTCTTTTTAGGATGAACTGTTGGGGGAGGGGCTTCCATATGAGTGTTTTCTGGTCCACTAAGCAGCAGATACAAACACGAACACACACACACATGCACTGACCCACTCTCGATCTCTACGGCTGCTGGTATTTGGTGCTGATTATTGACAACTACTGACTATATGGTGACTATTTCTGTCTCTCTTTCTGTCAAATTCTGTTCAGGTTCATTGGCCTAAATGCTGGAAAATACATTTCACGTTAAATAAAGAATTAATGTAATATATATATATATATATATATATATATATATATATATACACACATACATATATATATTCAGTTATAATACATTATATCTTTAAACATTTAAGGGGATTTTGCAGACTTCATATAATAAAATACATTTATATACATCTATAATTAAAATTTGGGGTAAAATGTCAAATTTATTGTACAAATCTAAAGATAAAAAAAAAACTTGTTTTCAGTTCAATTAAATTACAGTGCCTGCTTAACTTCTGTTATCTACTTAACTCCATTATGAGTCTATACTACCATTTAAAAGTTGGGTTGGTAGGTTCTCATATGCTCACTGCTGCATTTATGTGATCAAAATGACAATAAAACAATGTGAAATATTATTAGAGTTTAAAATAACAGTTTTAATGTATTTTAAAATATCATTTATTCTTGTGATGGCAAAGCTGAATTATCAGCAGCCATTACTGCAGTCTTCAGTGTCACATGATGATGATTAAAAAGTTTAGAAGAACAGCATTTGTTTGAATGAAAAAATGTAATGCTCACTGAATAAAAGTAATAATTTCTTTAAAAAATAAATAAATAAAAAAATCTTACAGAATTAATTATAATACCCCTATATTTAAACATTTGTTTTCATGTTTTCAACAAGGTTTGGAACGCATTACCTCATGAAAAGCTGACACAAACACCACATTTAATTAAAAACAGATGAAATGAACTCCAGCCTGTGCTCAAAATACACACATAGCTGGGTATCAAAAAGCTGATAAAGTTTCTTCGGGTCAAAGCTTGAAATGAGGAACAAAGAGAAACAATTATGAATACATAGATTAGTTGTGAGCTGCACTCCTACTCTACATTAACATTAAGATTTTCGATCTCTTTCCACTGCGCAATAAATTCGCTTAAGTGGGTATCTTTCGCTTTCGCATTTTGCTTAAGTGGGCATCTTAACGATGAACGGGTTAATAGCATTACGGGCTAATGTCAGGGAGGTAAAAGGGCCCTTACTGGACCATGTGCGTGTACCAGAGTGTACTGGGGGCTGTGGCGTGTTTCCTGGAGGAGCTGGATGATGCCATTAGGTTTGAGAAAATGAGCTCAGATCACTTAATTAGCAGTAAATAAGTGCTTAGCTGGGCCGGGAAATCCAGTCAGGGTCAGAGGCTTTTCAAAGACTTGATTTGGGTTCAGATTTCCATCTGAAAGAGAACATCAATAGGAGCCACCCAAAACTGTTCCGCTGAGATGAGGCAGGGGAATTTATTGATAGTTATGTAATAATTATAAATGTCATTTCAAAATGTCAATCATTTATGCAAATGATAGCATATAAACTGCTAAAAGGGACATAACAGAACTGCATTATTTTCCTCCAAGCAGCAAGCATTGTTAAAGTGCATAAAAATTTCCTGGCCTTTAGATGATAAACTGTTTTCCCCTAAATTACTTTCCAGTCATCTCTCTGTTTCCCTGCAACAGCTCAAACTCTTACACAATGTGTGAAACTACAGCTCTAAGGCACACACACACACACACACACACACACGTGTATGCATGCACACATACACATACACGCGTAACTTCCATACAAAATATCAAAATCTATGAATGAAGTACTACGTCATATCAACACAAAAGACGTTGCTGTGGATGAACATTTTATTTCAGCTTCATAACAAGTTTCAGAAAACACCTTCACAAAACACAGAAACTTTACATTTGCCAGGGTAAAGCAAACTGCTCAATAAATGTAAAAACGCTTTACAAATAAATATCAGCAAACACAAATTGTGAACTCAAAATCAATAAATAGTTCATCATTATAAATAACCGAAACATGAATTTCACAACATTAAAAGTTTTCTTTAAAATGACCATGTTTCACTCATGAAATTCTTATTGCATGGTGTGTCTATAGAGAAATGTCCAGTTGATGCCTCCCCTCCTCTCTGTCTCTCTCTCTCTCTCTGTATCTCTTGCCTTGGGCCATGACAGGATTGGTAACATCACTGCTCCCTTAACGGACTGTGACACGTGCAGTACCCAGCATTCCCTTTTCTCATCAGAATAGAGTACGAATAAACAAAATAAAGGACCCCCATCTGAAGCTAGACAATGTGTGATAGGAAGTTTAAGAGTTTTAAATCTGGCAGTTTCTTGCATTTGGGTTTGTTAGTGTTTGTAGGCTAAAATAGTAAAATAGTAAAAGAGAGGATTCTCCCTAAATTTTCAAAGATACTGGCCACAATGAAGCAACCCACCTCCTTAACATTATTCCCCTTTTTTAAATTCCTGGTGTAGTTGTATCTTGATGAAAAAAACTGCAGTAATGGTAACAGAGATTCACACATCTTTACCAGAAGATATTTGATACACATGTACACAAAATCTCACACACACATCACTGAAGACTAAAGGGACATGCAAACATTCATCACAGGGTTTAAGAGGAAATTTTGTCTATTTTAAAAGAAAATCTCAAATTTATATCCTGAAATCCCATTAGTTCCCACTTGCTCCACAGTGACAATATATAAAAATCATGAGCAAATATAAAATGTTATTATAAAAAGTATATATAAAATTATGAAAATGTTAAGAAAATACATACAAATATTTTTATACCAATAGGTGAAATAAGAATTGCAGCTACTATATTGCAAATTATATTAATTTTGATGTTGAATTTTATTCTTATTTGTTATTTTGATGCTCTAGCAGAACTGAAAAAAAAAATTTTTTTTTAAATTATTTTAATTTGCTAGACAGCACAACAACAAGGTAGAAACTGTGAAGCAAAACAGATGCAAACTTGTGATCTCAGGATAAAATTATGAGTATGTTACCACAATTCACAGACTCTTTCATTCTTTTCCTTCTCTCTCTCACACACACACACACACACACACACATCAGGCACACTTGCTCAGCTCCCCCCACACCAGCTGTTTGGTTGTTGGTTTTGGCTGAATGATCGATTACAAGCATAAAGCGAGAAATCAGTCATCATGCAGTGTGACTGGACACCCACCTCACAGGTGTATTGTGGATACAGTTCCTGAGAGAGGTCAGTGGGGGGAACAAAGGTACCACCCATTTCTTTAGCTGAAGAAAAGCTTTGGTAAGTTGTGCTGTCTGTATAAGACGCCCACCTGAGGTCCTCCAAGCCCACCTGAGAGCTTCCATACATGCAAGGCTGGTGCTGTGCGGTGTCCATACTGCAGGGGGCGCTGTGCACAGGGGTCGCCTCCGGAGAGAGCTGGTAGGTGAAGAGGTGGTAGGTGGGGTCATGAGAGGGAGGGGTTTCAGTGAGGGTGTGGTCACCTGCAGACAGAAACACAAACCTAATTCAATCATTCCAGCAGAGACATGGTAAATCAGCTCTTTTGGGTTTACATAGCTGGTTGCTTAGAAGACTGCACAGAGCTTTTGAATTAATAATAGCATGCATGCAGGATGCCAAAAGGTTTACAGAGTGCTCTCTGTCACATGCAGAACAGGGTCTAGACAACAAAAATAATAGAGATTTTGGCTCCTATAATAAAACATTTAAGAGCCAAATTACACTGTAAGAAAAAAACCTGTAGAAATAAAAGGAAAAGGAACTGGTAGTTTTCAGCCAGGAAATTATCTGTTAAGTTTATGGACAGTTCCTTTAACCCACAACACAATAGTATGCAATGCATATTTCAAAATACACGTAGAACATCTTTAAAAAAGCAATACAGAAAATTCCTTCATATTAACACCCTATTTTACTGACTTCTCTGTCAAATTACACAACTATTTGTAATAGAGACTTTGACTTAAATGTTATAAATTAACTATCATGTCTTTCAGAATTCTATTTACTGACTGGTTGTTCATATGACAATGTGTAACTTTGTTTGGGTGACATGTTACACAACCATTATCAATCAACATTCTAACAAATAACAGTTGCCAGTTCATTTCGAATCGACTCTATGAATGGAGTATGTGTTTCTGCTGATCTCAATGGCTAAAGCATAAACACCCAAAAAAAACTACTTGGTGTTCAGTGAGGGAGTCAGTTGTGAAGCCAGTTAACGGCTTTAAACAATTCAATAACTAAGTAAGTCTGATTCAAGTCTTTATGAGTTTGAGGCTGATTCGTGATTATTTTTGATTGAATGAAAAAGTGTTCATAAGAGTCATTTGTTCATGAATCTAACATCTCAACACGGTCTGGGTTAGTTGTTGCGTGCAGGAAAGAAACAAATACATAATGTGCTAACAAGATATCTGACGAAATGCACACAAAGTTTTCTTGAGTGCTGCTAATGGCAAATAGATTTTAAATTATTGTTGCATTTTAGAAATGAGAGAAGCAGCTGTCAATTATAAACCTTAGTACTACATACCTAATAGTTTTGTTTTTAACTTTATTAAATCTCTTCAAAGAACATTGTTTAAAAAAAGCCCACAATAATTCCAAGTAACATACAAGAAAGGAAAAAATACAAATAAGAAATACTGAAATATATCAAATCAAGTTATAACTTGGATTAAATTGAATTAAATTAAAATAATAGTTTAAAGTAATTTAGAAAGTTTTAAGGCACCCATCTTTTTAAAAAATGTTAAAGTGCCCCTATTATGGATTTTTGAAAATTACCTTTCATGCAGTGTGTAACACATACAATTAGCAAATTAGATGTGCAAAGTTTTAAATATGAAAGCGCACCATGTATAAAGTTATTGTCTCTCAAAAGAAAGAGTCGACTCTGAATAATTAAAACGAGTCGTTTTTAAAACTAATCCCAAGACGTTTCATGTTAATGTCAAAATGAAACATTAGCATATTGCCCGCCCACTTGTTGGTCTTTTCACATTGGTCTGAATGAAAATGCGAATTCATTCTTTGCCACTAGGTGCTGCTTTGGTAAAATAGCTGTTTCCCCGGTAACGCTGTACACAAAGCAGCACTGTGCTCACAAACGCTGCTTTATCAGGCATTACAGGCGTGATGAAATGAAAATTAGACCAATCGGACCAATCACTGCAGATTAGGGTCACGCAAAGGAGGGGTTTGGAAAAATGAATCGTTAAACGAATCGTTTGGGAGTCGTTGAGCAAGTAAGGTAAAAATAAATGCATATTATAAGACAATGAAAGTGTTTTTTGACCTTGCATGCATGTCAACCTGTTGTTGGGGTCTCCCAAAACCAAAATATGAACCTTCCATAACCCATAATAGGGGCACTTTACATTCCACAAAAATGTAACAAATTTACATTTGTGTAAATAAAACTTGCATATAATCAAAATATTATAACATAGAAATTCAACCTCTTTGTTTTGCACCATGTACCTGAAATGTCGGAGCAGGTGTAGCCAGGGCTGGGCTTTTGTGTCACAGTGTATTCTGACCGAGAGAGACAGGAGTCAGGTGAGGGTGGAGCTGCACGCTGCCTTGCAGTACTACGTGGTACAAGTGGATACTCCTTACTGTGAATAAAGGGTAAAACATGCATCAGACGCATTGGTTCCTACAGCATGACCCAGACAATATTTGAGAAATTGGGAAAATGACATTTAAAGAAAGGACGCAAAAGATATACTGAGAATATTTCAGAAGCCCATGCATCAGGGAACTTTTAGGGGAAGAGTCACAACACACTAGAGTTGATATATCAGGGTGTTAAAAGAGAGAGAGCAGGCTCATGATTTGCATTGGCACGGTGGGGCGGCAAAGGGTAACGGATATCATTTGCACAGTACTGATCGTTTCTAATTAAATTTCTAAGCTAAGAGACAATTACAGTAGCTAAAAATCTTTTCTATACCCCCTTTTCAATCTGACTCATTCCTCTTTCTCTCTGTTTTTTCACTCTCTTTCTCAAAAACGCATTTACTTAGACACACACACATTAGCCCCCCAGTGACCTCTCTGTGTGACAGTGTGTTGTGCCGCTCTGCTCTTAATATTGTTACACTATAAATATCCCTCTCTTGTGTGTCACATTCAATACTGTCAACATGCAACACAAAGCTTTGACTTTTGTTCCTAAACCCTGCTAGTTAAAAGGACAACATATTCTCCATGTATCTGAAACAACATCAGTGGCTACGAGATGCAACACACAATGACATGCAGGCACATAGGACATATGAAGACTGAAAATAATACAGTACATTAGTGATTCATCATTACTCACATACAAACTCATGGTGATGTTATGATCCACTAAAGTAAAATGTTTGCATGCGTATTAATATGTTTAAAATATGTGTGTTCCACCTTGGTGTACGGGACATGCGATGCAATTCGATATTGTCGTTTCCACGGAAACCTTTAGCAAATGGATTATTCTCAATCTTCAGCTGAGTGATCTAAAAAAAACGGAGGATTAAAGATGAACACTCTGCTGCTTTCTGCAAATGTATGCATTTTTTCTACGATCATAGGGGTCTTGCTTACTGTGTGGTTCTGGTAGGAAGTTACAGCGATGAAGGTCGTCTCAGGAAATGAGTGTGTGCAGAAACTTGTGTTGCTGGAGCCAAAGCTGTTCCTCTCGTCTGCCTTAACAATGTGCAGGCGAGGCTGGTATTTATGCATGGAATTTAAAATGATCTGCAGCAAATAACAGAAGAGATCTCCTGATCAACACATTGGTTACATAGGGGTTTCTGCAGGTTTTGTTAGGGTGAATTTAAAATGTTTTAGGACCTTTTTAAGAGAATAAAAAAAAACTAAATGTATTATATTAGCAACACTTCAAAATTTGGTTCGATTTACAAAAAAAAATATCCATATCCAATCTGCTCCAATCCATATTATACCTTCAGATCACATTGCAAAGAAACTGATGTTATTCCTCAGTATTTCTGTCTTGTTTTTCAGTGCAAATGTCTAAAGATTTTTAAATCAAGATACATTTACCTGAGAAGCAAAATGACAGGCGATAAGAAGTCTTCTTTCTGTGAAATTTATCAAAATGATGCAAATTTGTGATGAAAAAAAAAAATCTGCCAATAATAAAAAAAAAAAAACAAGTTGTCTTGCCTCATCGACAGATATTTGTTCTTGTTTTAAACAAACTCATTTAATTTTGTTCAGCGTCATATCTTCATTTTGCAACTCAAGTAAATGTATCTTGATTTAAAGATGTTTAGAAATTTGTTTTGGAAAAGAAGATGAAAATACTGAGGAAGATATTCATTTAGCATTGCATGCAACATTGACTTTATGAATGTAAGACTTTCTGCTCTGATTTAAGACATTTTAGGGCCTTATTATATGGAAGGGTGAATTAAGACCCTTTAAAGACCCACAGAAACCCTGTTCTATGTCCAGTTCAATCCAACTAAGCTGTAAACCTGTGGAGAGTTTAATTATGTTCATCAGTAAATAACCAATCAGATTTGACTGGCATCATCACTGACATGTCCGAAAGGATCCAGGTGGTTGTTGGTGAGTTTGAGCTTCTGGAAAGAGACGAGCTGTCTCATCCAGTGAGCTCCTGAAGCCGGTGAGTCTGGGTGCACATACAGTCGGCCTGGAATCGCCGGCTCAGCTTTACCACTGATGGACCTACAGAGCAGATAGGACACAAAACGAGTTGATAAGGACTTTCTGTCTGCTCCACAATTCTGAGATAAAAGTTCAGGTTACGAAATAAACTTCTATTTCAGGCACAGTTGAGTTCCTCTGCTCTGTGTGGATCCTCCACTCACTGAACAATATTCTTTAACCAAGGCTTATAATTGGCATTATTCTTGCATCATTTCACAACATCAACACACAACAGAGCTAATTTGTATTTATGCTATGCATATCTTTCTCTTAGCATTCCTCCATGCATTGATTTAGCTACACCTGTTTCTTTCAGTCAATTACAATCAACAGCTCAATAACCTTTCATACAATCATTCAGTCACCAATCAAAATCTATTAAATAAAATGCCTAGTTAAGATTCATTGTTGAAAAAGAATCAAACATCTTTATAAATGTTTAACCTTTTATTACTTTACGTATTTTATTAGTAGTATTATAGTTTATATAAATTATAATTTAACACTTTCTTACCATTTGTTATCTGTAAACTTATACCGATGCTCGTCAGCTGAAATAATGTCCATCAGTAAGATATATTTTGCTTTGGGGTTTAAGCCTGTTACCTTCACCTTGTAGCTGGGAAACATTCGTCTGTAAAAGACCAATGATCCATTAGAGAGCCAACAACAATAGTCAAATAATAATGGTGATAATAATAATTTTAATACAGTGAGAGTATTGTCTTGTTTGTCAACATTTTCCTGATCCATGAAGTCATTGGATGTAATGACAAGAGGTACCACACATATTTAGAGAAATCAATTATTTATCATTTTCATTTAAAGTGACTCACTCTGGTTAAAAACACTAGCAAAATGGGAATATATTTATTTGAAAAAAATATAAAAAATCCTGGTACAGCAGCATGCATATGATGGCAAATTGTGCCCTATTTCTCACTGTTGTCCTCCAGGGGCTTTTCCCTGCCTGGGGAATTTTGTGTTGAAAATAGATTGATCCATGAACATTCAATAAAAAGGAAAAAATATATTTTCTATCTTTATACATTGTGGGGTAGAAAAATTAAAATGAAAAAGAGTCACTCACCGGCCAGCTTTAGTGATGATCATCTCTGTAGTGACATCATGAAATTTCGCCCACAGATCTCTCTCGTGCAAATAAACTTTGATTCCCTCCATACCCTGCGCGCCAGGATCGGCAAAAAAAAAAAAGAAGCAAATTACTGCTGATTTTTAAACCTTTTTTCTGCCAAAATATGCTGACAAATACAAACAATATAATACAAATGTATTTAAATAAAGAATGGGTTTTAGGTTGTTTTTTTTACCAGTGTTTTTTAATTAGTCCATACGAATCATAATTGTAAAAATAGTCGAGACCGGTTGTTAATAATATCGAATTTGAAAGCAAATTAAAAGGATTCGCGTGTACATTTTGCAGACAGACATATAACAAGAAATGATCTAAATACACTACGTAACAAATAATGCATTCCCGTATTAATCAGTGTGATGCTACAAAATGTCTATTTGCTTGTTATATAAACGTTATTAATTCATTCGCAAATATGCCATCTTCCTAGTGAATTTCCAATGTGCAATAGCCTAAATAATTCCACTTAAAATAAACAACTAGACCAACAGTATAATAATAAATAATAATAATAAACAAATCTTGACAAAAAAAAAATCTGTCAGCAGAATTTTGGCCTCGCATTCTGCTGCACGTGCAGAGTTATGGCTGACCTGTTGGGAGAGCTGAGTTTGCAGCGGCGGAGAGCCGGTTTTGCACCGAGCGTGATGACCGGAATCTTTCTCCTTCTCGAATCCCATCGCGGGGGAATCGCCGCCGGAACATGACTGCTGAGATCCGAACTCTAAATTCGCCATATCCCCGTTTGAGTTTAACTACGGTGAACTAAAAGATGCGAAAGGGAAATGGAAGAAATATTTTCACCAGGTGATCTCCAGAATTAAATAAAAATAAATAGCCTAAATGAAAACTAATAATTTAAAAAATCCATATTAACTGTAATCAACTGGTTTCTTTAAATTATTGTGTAGATACAAAAGTAGTAGACAGATATATTTTGCCTTGATACAATGGTTCGCGCTTTCAGCGATTTTTGCGTTCGATGGAGAGAATTTTAGGACGCTTTGGTTAATAATGTAAAATGTGTAGCCTAAAATATGTAGGCGACTATCGGAAATTCTCGAATCGAGGCTGCTATAACTATCTTAATTTATTCCTACAGAATCCAATAACTTAGATTAATTTTAACTTTATAATTTCCTCGCATGAAGCTACTTGGATTTTTGTCGTCTCTTACCTCATTGTTTAATGAGCTTTCCGTTGCTGACTTAATTCCGAAAAAGACGCAATTTAAAATTCGTCCCCACTGATTTATTTCTCCAAGAGGCCTATAATTTTTAAACTCCCTGAATACAAATAAAAATATCTACAAAAAGAGTTTAGGGCGTTTTAATTTTGATTTTCCTCTCTCCTCAAACCCCTTCGCCGAGCTCTGTCCCTTCTTCTGCCGTGTCTCTCTTTTCTCCATCCATTCTCTGTCCCCCATTATGTGATGCTTTCTATGTCGTCACACCTTTTTCATTCACACTCATGACACGCCATGTCCAAACTCACACACGGCGACAAAATTCACCATAAACACCCACATTGCGCGAAAACCTCTTGTCCTCCAAGATAAACCTGCTAGTTCCTATGCGCTTTCCAAATGCAAATACAAAATTGAAGAACCGTCCTAAATAGCGTAAGAGAAGATATTCGCTGTACTCACATATCTGGCGCCGAATTTACGCGTAGACTCCAAGTTGTTCGGTAAATAATCAGCGCTTTTCCGTCAACATCTCTGTGCGCGACGGCTGCGCTGCGGGGTTAAAAGTTGAGGAGGTCGAAAGGAGGTAACTAGGCGAACGCTCTGTCCTCTCTCTCTCTTTCACTGCTCGAGTCCGTTTGTATTTGTTTGCTGGTGACAGAAAACGGCATTCCCTCAGTAAAAGCTTTGGAAATATTATTTGATCTATTTAATGAACGAGCCGCGTGACCAAGTAGGCCTACGCGCGTTCTCTTGTCACTCATATAGTTCGCATTACTTCAAAACAGGCTTCCATAAATAAGACAAGTGGATGATAACAGGATAGCCTGCAGTGCGGAGCCGTGGGAAGTAACATTGCTCGTTAAAATAAGACGGTAATCCCGCAATCGTGTGGCGAGATAAAGTCAGGACACCACGGAGAGCGCGAGCTTGACTCGGCTCGAGACGCGTCGGTATTCGGATAAGGCTCTGTTTAATGTGACTGTTGGACAAACGACTAGATCATTTTTCAGTTTTCCTCACAATTACTGAAATATTAATGACTTTATAATTGTTTCTGTGGAGTGACGCATAGGTGAATTTATTTCTCTTGGGATTCTGTGATCTGTCAGTCAGAATGGAGCCAAGTAGAATCTGTAAACCAAACCTCAAACCATTTGCAATAATTTCCCAAATATTACATGTCTACCGATAGTTTTTAAATTACGTAAAAAAAAAAAAAACATTAAAAACACAATGTATTTAAATTTAAGTTTCTTTTTAAATAACGCAATGCGTATTTATTTTACGTTCTAACCTTTCAAACCGTAAAACTAATAAATTGCGCCACCTAGTGCGGTCATTTATTAGTAAACGTTTAAATTCGTGTGACATTGAAATATCAAATGAAATATTTGTTTGCAAAACCAATTTGGCATGTTTTCGAATTTAAAAATTAAAGGCAATAATTTAAACATATTAAAATATATTTAAAAACATTAAAATAAAAAATATGAAATTGTATAAAAATGGAAAGATTAGACCACAAACGTGTGCAGTTTATACAATGAAATATTTTACTCATCATTCTGCATTCAGACAAGATACAATCAGTATTTTCTCCTTCGTTAAGGCAAATGGCATAAACCTATCAAATCAAGCTCTGTCATCTCACTTTATGCTCCAGTGTAAGCTGTAGGATAGTTATGTGTATTATCTCTGATCTTGCTTAAGTAGCATGGAAAAGAATCATACTCCAAGACCAAACACACTGATAAGCAAGAAACAACAAAAAATATAGTTCAACAGGCTGATTGTTTGGGCCAATTCCACAGTAGCCACTTAATCAGGACTTAAGTGTATGTGTGTTCAGTCAAATCTAAAGGGCACTTCACAGATCTGTGTTCAAGCAATTAAAAAATGCTGCCTAACTGTAAACATGAACGAAACATTTTATCACAACTTAAAAAAAAAAAAATGACCTAATTTTTCTACTCAGATCTTGGCTTCCACCCTGTCAAAAGACCCTGAAGAGATGAAAATTAATAAAGTTATGAGGAACAAAAATCAACCTAAAACTGCAACCTGAGAAAAGAAACAAAAGAAAAATATCCAGCTGCCATAACAATGGCAATCTAAAGGGGCTTAACCCATATTCTATTTCAATCTAGCCATATGTTAGTAATTAGATTCTATAACAAAACTAATGTGTTACAAAAGTCATAAACATCTATCGTACCTTTAAGTTTCACAACAAACTTGAACAACAAACTTGAAAGCAATAAAATCCAGAATTAGATCTTTCATTATAAACAGGGGCTGTCATCTAATTGTTGGTTTTAGATTGTTTCTAAAGCAGAAATAACAGACAGCAACGTTCAAGTGAATCTTCAGTCTAACATGTAGGTAACATTTATATACCCTACAGTGACGGGTCAAATACAGTGAGTGGAGAGTGAATGGAAATCAAGATTTTAGGAGTTGTTACATATCACAATACCCTGCGCATGCAGCAGAAAGAGGGAGCTGTGTGTAGCACAAAAGGCTTTCGTTCTTTTCATTCACTGTCCAGAATATGTCTTCAGTTATATGGTGCATGTATGGAACTCTTACAAAGGAACATGGCTTAACAGAGCCAGCAATGGTTCTCCATCATATGAGTTTGTACACAGTGATGGCGTGTGTGAAGACATGATGTGTGTGTGTGTGTGTGTGTGTATGTTTGTGTTATAAGGGGACATGACTAAACAAGTATGAAACTGACTCCCCATTATGTGTTCGCCTAATGGCTTCAGCCAGGATCATAGAAATGTCGATCACCTGGAAAGGAAAAGAGAAATAAATTAGTCAACATGCTCTGAGTAATGAGGAAAAAAGAAACCATTTCTACTATATGAAAAACAATCAAATCAGATAATATTTCAGAAGTTAATACCAGTTCAATTACCGGTCAAAATTTTGGGGTCAGTAAAATATATATATTTGAAAGAAATTAAATGATTTTATTCAGCAAGGATGCAATCAATTGCTGTCATTTTGAGCTCCCCATTCATAAAAAAAGCCTGGGGAAAAAAACAATGTATCACCATTTCCACTAAAATAGCTGTTTTTAACATTGATGATAAGAAGAGTTTCTTGAGCATCAAATCAGCATATAATAATGATCTCTGAAGCATCATGTGACACTGAAGACAGAAGTAAAGGCTGCTAAAAATTCAGCTTTCCATCACAGTAAAAAATAGCAAATTGTTATTTTAAATTCTAATAGCATTTTACTATATACCGGCTTTTACTGTATATTTTGGATAAGATAGTATGTATCCTGGGCGAGCTTTTTAACGGAACTGTATATGTATCAAAAATGGGTTGTAAAATTGTGAAACCTTAATAGACTTGCATATAATCACTGATTTCCCAGTTCACTTTGATTCAGATTCACAAGCTTGATATTCAGTTCTGATTTTGAAATATACAATGTGCAATTGTTACATAATCATGTGATTTTTTATATTCCACTAACATTTGTTTAATTAAAATTGAAACGGATAGAAAAGAACACAACAGAAAACAAAGAACCACAACATCATTTTCTATAAGATTAATGTCTGTGCCTGAATCTTGTTGCAGTGTTTGATTTTGTCCTCCTGTGGAATTGTGTTGGTGACCACAACTGCCTCGAAGTTGGCATTGTTGATCCGAGAAATGGCTGGACCGGAGAAGATACCATGGGTCAAGATGGCGTACACTTTAGTGGCTCCCGCAGACACCAATCTGAGAGAAGACAGAGACACACGAGCAATTACACAAACAGGCAAGAACATGGAGGCATGAGGTCTGACAAATCAGCAGGATATTCATGAATGTGCATTTGTTTGAGCATGAAAGCGGTCGTGTATCATGCGTGTCCTCACTTGTCAGCCGCGTGACATATTGTCCCACACGTGTCTGCCATGTCATCGACTAAAATTGCCACTCGGTCTTTCACGTCCCCAACCAGCACCATACGATCCACCTCGTTGGCCTTCTTCCGCTCCTTATGGATTAAGGCAAAGTCCACATTCAGTCGGTCTGCGATGGATGTCACTCTAATAAAACGAACACAAGATTCTTAAGCAACATTCTGTACAACAGCGGTAAATGACCATGGATGCATTCAGGCTTCTCTGCAAGTGTCACATGCACACCACAGAGAAGCCACATGTGCAAAAGTTACAGTAAAAACACAAGTACAGTACAAACACCAGTGTGCATAAGCTCACTCACTCACTTGAGTGTCTTAAATGGTTACAAAAGGGGGCACTGTAGTCAGTTCATCTCTCAAAAGACAAATCAGCATGATTAAATTAGCCAAGCTTTAAAAGGCTTCAAACAGCTTTACAAAAAATGCCCACCACTGTATAATATACTGCTAAAGGTTTAGGCCAAGCCATCCACTGTTAGCAGAGTCACACACTCACACATAAACACACAAAAAAACCTGACATTTCCTTACCCTCCACACCTAAAAGAGTAAAACACACTCATGTCCATCGTCTTCAAGAGCCTGATCAACATTATAGACTACAATTCTCCAGGTTTAACAACCTGAAAGGGTTACGATGCTATAAAAATCTAATGATATGTAGTCCAAAACCGAAAAATATGATAAAATACATTCTTTTAGAAGACTTTTTAAAACATAAACTCAATGTGAAAAGGATAAACAAAGAGAAATCTGAATGTGAAACAAGAGTGACAGTGAATTAAGGAAAGAGATGAAGAGAATGGGTCTCATTCACTAATAGTTGTGTGAATTATTCACATTTATACAAACAGAAAAAAAATCGGTAAAAAAATTCCACCTAATTCACAACACGTGTGTGCAGACTCCAATTAGTTCTTAACCTCGTTGTAATGTCAATGAATTTGGAGTACTCTAAATTGGCCACCACATGCCTGAGGTTAGCCATTTGTATAAAGCCTTCTACACACTGCACGATTTTAGCAATCCTATAAGATCATCACCAATCACACTGTGTGACATGGATCTAATAAACTTGGGTACGACATGTATGCAGACTGTACGATGATGACACCTAGTGACTTGTAGGCTACAGTGCAAGTTACTATTAAAAATAGAATAAATCGTCATTAGCCTGCGCTAGCGGTAAACAAAAAGAGCATGACGAAGCAGTTTGGCAGCTGTACTTCTTATGTTTGCTGAAAAATGAGGAATCTGTGAAAAAGGAAGTTAAGTGAGTTTGAGGTAAGCAGTTTTAAGTTTTAGCGCCATGTTGCATTGATCAACATGCCATTTCATGTTGCATTTTTATTGGCTGGTCAGTAAATGTGGGTCGTAGCAGCAAAAACACTGTGTGATGCTGAATTTCTGACATTGTCAGAAAACGATCGCAGGTTGTCTTTGGTCACAAGACCGTGACAACAGCCGTCTTTAAACCTCTCTCACTGTCCAACACAGGACCACCGTTTAGGAGCCCCGATCGCAGAAATCGCCACGATTGTTTCACAGTGCCAATCTTTCGTCTGGGACAGCCGAAAATTGTGTGTAGAAGGCTTAAAACACAACCAAACCATTTCCACATAAGGGGTTTCCGCAAAGGTTTCAGTCATTGTCAACAAATATGGAAAATTAGACCACTTTTTTTAAAACTGGTGATACAATGTTTTATATATAATTATTTAATGATTTACTATCCATGTATACATTTTCATCTTAATATGCTTATAAGGCCACAAAGAGTATATGATTTTTGTGTTCGTGGGGTATCAAGTGTTCCCAGATTTTTTCAGAAATTTAAATTTAAAGGGGTGGTTCACGTTTTTTTTTTCTAGGCTTGATCGTGTTTATGGGGTGCAGTCTAACATGTGTTAATGCTTCGTTTTTTTAAAAACGCATTAATTTTCACATAATTTACCTTTATTCCACACCACTCTGTCCCTTCTCTGAGAAACGCGCTGATCATTTCCTTCTTTTATGAAGCCCCTCCCTCAGAAATACGATGGGCTCTGATTGGTTAGCTAGCCCAGTGTGTTGTGATTGGCTAAACCGCCTCTAGTGTGCATCTAAACGTCCCGCCCCTCACCTCAGCGGCATGTGCTCCAGTTGTGTTGTAAACAACAGCGTTGTTAATATCGCTTATCAGTTTGAGCCCGATTGAGAAGCGGAGGATATTATTGAAGAGGATCGTGCAGAACCTGTGCAAGCACGGCTTTTAATGGTAGGCCTATGTTTTTTGTTTGTTGTTGTCTCATACTTTTAGATACGCTGTTATTTGCAAATGCTACTGCTTATGTTAGCTTTTAATATACAGTTTTATCCTGATTAAAGCTTTAATACAGTACGGCAACTGCACGCGCGTCCATGTTTAACGCTTCTCATAGCTATATGTGAACATAAGTATATAATTGTAACAGTTCATTGTTGGAGCTGAGCTGAATGAGAGAGGTAGTCCCTACCAGCCGTTTTTGTAGGCATTAAACTGCCAGAATTTTAAAAGACGATATCTCCGTTTGCATTGAACTTTCAGCTTCGTTGCATTGAACTTTTTTAAAAGTTATAAAAACCTTTGCACACAGGTATCACACACATTTGTGTGTGTATGTATGGTTAGTGAACGAGACCCAATGTTTTTGAGAGACAGAAACACACCTCTTGGCTCCACCAGCATCAGGAGAAACAATGGTGCAGTTCTTCCATTCATTGATGTTTTCTTTTATCCATTTGAGGACTGCCGGCTCAGCATACAAGTTATCCACTGGGATGTCAAAGAACCCCTAACAACACACACACACACAAAACACATTCACTCAAATTCAAACCATTAAAAAACTTTCAGTGTCCAAGTCTCAACTATAAAATGCTGAAGAAATTTAAGGCGCACCCAGTTCTACTCAGGCCTGACTGTAGGATTATGTCTGTGATCTCTGTTCATGAGAGATAAGGGTTTGTTTTGAGCTTGTTTGGAGGAAAGGCACTGCACTGTTTTTACCTGAATTTGAGATGCATGAAGGTCCATAGTGATGATGTGGTCTGCTCCGGCTACAGACAGCATGTTGGCGACCAGCTTGGCTGAGATTGGAGCCCGACTCTACAGACAAAATTCTCACTCATAAACATACACTCATAAATAAGTAACATCACAACCACTAACCAGATACACATTAACAGGAAGATAGAGAAGGGCTAAGCAAGCATAAATAGCTATGCCTTGTATGTTGCCAAAGGGCCAGAAAACACAAGCCAACACCACAGAAGAAAGACTTACAGAAAGTAGCCCACATGGATCCACCAACAGTGATGCGGTTAATGTATGATTAACTGTGTGTACGTGTTAATAAGCAAGCTGTTCCCCTCACCCCCACCTTGTCCTTCTTGTCCTGCCGAGCGTAGGGGAAACAAGGAATAACCGCCGTGACTCTGGAGGCCGATGCAATCTTACAGGCATTGATCATGATCAGCAGCTCCATAAGATTGTCGTTTATTTCACCACAGCCACTCTGGACAATATAGACATCTTCTCCACGCACACTCTCTCCTATCTCTACACTGCAAAAACACACACACACACACACAAACAAACAAGGTTGAGTGGATCTCAGTCACTAAAGATAGTGCACTATAAATCTATACTTGTCTGCCTGATTAGAGGTGTATCTGATTTGAGTTGATTTTTTAATATAAACACCACTGGGGTTCAGAATGTTATCCATTAAAAAGCAAACTGAAACTATTGCGTCAAAAACCTGACTGCATTTATCGCATGTCAGCAGCAGATAAAGAGTGTGAGACACATTTTATCTTTTAGGGTCACAAGGCTTCCACTCATCTGGAGTTAAATGTCAATTATATAAACACAGACACCAGGGCCAAGATTAGATTTTAATCTCACGATATGAAAGTGGTCGTGTACCTGCATATTCCTTCTTTTTAGCTATGGAAGTGAAACTAACTCTATTAAAAATAATTATAACTAATGAAAAAACGCAGCAGCATTTCACGAGGGTACATTTAATAGCGTTATAACTCCTCACGTGGCAAAGGAGGCCAGACAGTACGTTTAAAATTAGCATTAGCGGCCCCGGAGTCACATGCTTAATGCAGGTGCATGCTGGGAAATTGAGTCTGGTGCCTGTACGAGGCGCATTGCGCCAGATGACACCTTCCAATTCAGAAAACTACAAACTAAAAAAAACATGTGGTTGCCATGTGTTTACCATTCCGTTTACCCTAGCCAAAACATTCCGGGAAATCAGTTGCAAATCTGACTGTAAATAACTCACCAGGTTTCCTGATTGCTGAATTTTTTAGTGACCACTTTCCCCAGTTCGAGTCCCAGTCGGTCCGCGATCTTCTGCGACAGATCCGGATGCGAACTGCCTGAAAATATCTTAATGTTTGGCATTCTGGGCTGATCCGTGGTGCCTATAGTGTCGGGATGGTGTACAGATGGTGTACAGTGTTTTTAAAAAAACACTGTAAGCTAAAATGACCTCTTCTAAATCAATGTTTAATCTCAATAAAGTAAGTGAAGAGGGCCTGGTGCAGGTCGTCTCTTCTGAATCGGATCCGTCCGCGCAGGCAGCAAAAGCCACTAGTATGTGCCATCGTAGCCCCGCCCACTTCAGTTAAACACGCCCATAAACTGTGGCGCGCGTCAATTTCGGCGCTATGACTGGACATATTTCTGAGGGCTAGATGACTGGCAGCTAAACAGACATATGCGCGCAACACCCTTTATGATGTTCCAGTTTACAGTTTCAACAAAGCGTTCCAGCGTTTCGCTTGCGTTCGTGCACACTCGGTCAAAAATGACATTGCATAATTTAGTTTTAGATAGGGATTTTTTTTTTTACCTTTATAAACACCAGGACCACTAAGCGGTCTCTCAGCCAACTAGATTTTCTCGATTTTCTCGATAACTTTTTGAAATCACTTTCATTAAGAACAATATAACAAATCGTTTGATAGTTAGAAACCAGTTAAAGGCACAATATGTAAGAGTTTTTAATTAAAATATCCAAAAACCGTGAAACAAAAACCAAAAACAGTGTTATATATTTTGCTGACTTGTGTACTTACATTATCCCAAATGTTTCTAAGAATTTTTAAATCCAGAGAAATAAGCAATTTTAACTAGTGACACTGACCGTGTCCATAGTGTAATCTCCAGGCCCTGATGGCCTCACTTCCGAATTTTATAAATTCTTTAGGGAAGATTTGAGAGAACTATTATTTCGAGCCTTTCTCGAATGTATCCAAAATGATTCACTATCTTCGACTATGAAACAAGGTCTAATTACTCTTATCCCCAAACCAGGTAAAGATGCGCGACATATAGATAATCTTCGCCCCATCACTTTACTCAGCTGTGATTATAAAATTCTAGCTCATATATTTTCCAATAGACTCAAGAAAAACATAAATCAAATAATTAGTGAATCACAGTCAAAAAAAATAAAAAAAGTTTTGTAGAAAACATGTCATTGTGTCGCCTGCCAATGACGTCATAATCCCTAGATTTCCGGTTTTGTTTTGTAGAAAACATGGAAACACCAAAGACGCTTTAATATGTTGTGCGTTTTAATAGACCGGTGACGACCGCACAGAGTAGCATAATAACAGAACTTTCAAATGTATCTAGTATGATAAAACAGCGCTGCTTACTTCCGCTGCTTTCCGGAAGGAGCGGAAGCGGTCGACTGTGGCATAATAAAAGCTCCACTGCTTTCGAGCCGTGTGTCATGCTCGTTCAGCGGCCTCGTTTCGCTTCGACGGCTTTCAGCCTCACCCTGCTTCATTCTACTACGTTAATAAATCATTAGCTCATCCATGAACATGAGTCCCGTCGGATTGCATCGGCTGTGGGGATGAAGACCACAACTCCCATGATTCCACACTCAGTCACTGCATCATCAAAATACGCCTTTGTCTCTTTGTTTGTTTTGAATACGCACCCTCTAGCGGCGAAAATTACATATTGTGCCTTTAAAACAGAGAAATCTTATGTCTAAAAGTCTGTCAACAGGCTTTTATTAAAACTGTCTTGTGTATCATATATACATATATATAGCCTATATACAGTTTAAATATTAACAAACATTTGCAATGAACTCATTTCGCAATGACCCTACACTTCATAAAACATGTAAATTATGTCTCCAGTGCAGCTGGTTTATCTAGTTTTTAAGTGAATTCCTAGGGGGAAAAAACTCTGGTTGCTATAGTAAATAATGCACTCTAGTGGTAAAAGAGGTGTAGTCTGTGTTCCTAGGACTGCTTTCTGTTGTATAGTTGGCAAAAACCGCCATCAAAACTGATTTAGAGGCAAGCGAAAACAATGTCAGATAATCGATAAAGCCTGATCAAATTAGATTTGTTCATGTTTCCACAAACAAAAACGAGTCAGTACTGAAACGAGTGATCAAAAGCTCTTTTAATTAATATTTATTCCATAAACATGATTACAAAACTCAGCAAGTTACCAATATTACATTTGTCACCATACAGGCTTGATCACAAATATTTCAACTTTTGTGACAGATACAACAAAAACAAAATACTAGAATAATTTACATGAAAATCTATAAAACAGCAATGAGATCACAAATTAGTGTTATTGTTCCACTGTCTGTTTTCATGGTTTCTTTTTTTATCTTTAAATTAATATATATTTTAACTAGAGCACAACACTCTTACAACAAGATTGGTCCAATTACAAAACCTTTCAACAAAGAGTCACAGCTTGCTCTCCTTCTCTCTCCTTTACAATAGTTTTTTATTTATTTTTTATAGTATTTTCAATTTTTGGCTTTAAAACAAACAAACAAAAAACAAATAAGAGAGAGAGAAAGAAAAAGAAAGAAAGAAAACATCATGGCAATTAGCAACCTTTTCACTTGCCGAAAAGGGAAAAGAACAAAGCCACAGTAAGAACGACCTCACATCACTTTCTAAGAAAAATATACACTTAGAAAATATGTTACAAATTGGCACAATGAAAAATATACAGGTCATTATTTTTTTTTTCCTACATCAAGAAGTTCATTGAGAATCCACCTGGAGAAGACAGACCAGGCAGTAGAAAGAGTTTCTTTTTTTCCTTGATGATGAAAAAAGGCAAAAGTAGTTACAAGTAATGGAGTGTCAAATAAATCATGAAGAAAAAAAATACTTCCAACTTGACAATATAATACATTCATAAATAGGGCACAATTAAGTTTTTGATATGCTTGTATTAACTTTACATGATGCACTTATAGGGGAATAACACTGTTTACGAACTTTTCAAAAATATGAACGCTTCGGTCAGTGCAGGGGATGTGTGCTATACAGTTTTCACTGGTGTAAAACTTTGCTCTCAAAGTATGAAGAAGAGCACCCTGCACTGGCATCACAGATGTCCTGCAGGTTTAGCAACAGTAGTGCTACGTAAAAACAGTACAGCAGGGGGCAGCGCTGAGAACAGCTTGAGTTTGTATGGCGAGATGGGCAGCTGAGGGAATGAGAGATGTGAATGCAGTTGGGTTCCCTGAGCCAACGGACCTGAACCAACTGTGTTACATCTCCATTCACTCAGCACAGAAAGAAATCATTTGGACAACCAACTTATATTCTAATATTTCCTGGTCTTTTGCTTGGTGCGGTTGATTTGGCTGGGAAGGCCCTGAAAATCAAGAGGTTTTCAGGGCTCACTTCTGAATTGCACCACCAGCTGTGGAATGCCACTCATCATCTGCACCTGTTTTCTTCAACATTTCAACACTCCAATAATTTCACCTTAATTCATTCACAGCAATGTTACAGCATTTGCACAAGTACCCACTAAACTTTGAAAATGGAGGATCAGTTCTCAAACTACAGTTGTCAATTCAATGTAGTGTTGAACAACTCAAAAGTGTTTCACACTCTGTAAACGTAAGGGCAGAAAATCAAAGAGAAAATATTTCTTTTCAAATAGGCATTCACAAAAGAGGGGATCCAGGGAGTTGCAGAAAAAAAGATCCTGAAGCAATGTAGTAAACAGCACATGGGGGTAACCGTTCCCCCCTAACACAACAAATAACATTCCAACAGCAATAGAAAAACAATGGTTTTGAGATCAGGTAAGAAAAAACAGGCGAGTCAGAGAAAGTAATACAGGGGATCAGCATTCACATCACATATCCATATCAGGTTTTAATTTTAAATGCATGCACATCGCTAGCAACAATTTAGAAAACTTTCAAAAAATATTTGGTCCTGTTCTTAACTAGTTTGGAGGGTTGAGGTACAGAGAAATATATTTAACGAACTAGAAACTTGGGGATGCAAACGAGTTAGAATGCATTGTATGTCTTGTTATAAGAAGGAATGATCATTTTCTTACCTTGTTACATACGAACAGAGTGATCTTTTACCATCCAGAAATGCATCAGAATGAAAGGCAACCAATGTTTTTCTCTGCCATTATAGCACTTCAGCTTCCTCCCACAAATTCTCGTCATGCATCTCTCACTTCCTGCCTCTAATCTTGAACTAGCCAGGAGTGTAAAACACAGAAAATAAACCAACAACATTTTTCTTCTGATTGTTGAGATGACTCCTCGCCGCTAGCGGTTTGTACAGATGTGATGCAACAGGAGTGAATCTCAGATTAACAACTCCCCCATCCCAAGCACACACACGCTCGCTCCTCAATCACTGCCACATTATAAAACAGCAAATATTTATGTAGATAAAAATGTCTGTACGTTTAATTGTTCATAGTTTGGCACATTAATTTAAACATGTTTGATATAATCTTGTTTTGTAAATAGTGCATATGTTTGTGTACAACAGCAGTTTGATACTGGCAGGAGAAGATTCACTGGAGAACAGATGAATGAACCCCCTTTTCACAACTTATAAACAAACAACAATAATGAAAATATCTCTTGTGAAATTTCAGAACCTCAGAAAAAAAAGAGCATCTCGGTCAAGAAGCTTTCTTTTAGTTTGTCAGAGCCCAGTGTTCTGAGGGGTTGGCACAGAAATGAGGGGAAACGATTCTTAGCAGAGAATACTACACATGACCTTTGACCCCTGAACAGAAGGCAACCATTTGCTGAGAGACAGAGCAGGGCGCTGGGCTCGATCTAAACCATGGTTCTGTGACACCGATTTAACACATACAGTGTTATAGCTGCAACGGAAAACAAAAAGACAAAAAAATTGATATTTAGATACACACCACACTAAAAGAGAATCCAAAGGCATTTTTCTTCTTGGAAAACAAACCAAACGCAAATAAAAACAACTCAAAATTTGTCAGATAAAAATGCAACAAAGCAGCAATGGGGAGTAGGGTGCAGCCATGACAGTGAGACTTCAGTCAGTCTAGTAGGTAGTTTAGCAGGGCTGACATGCAGGATGTGCCTGCCTTCCAGTAGGCCAGGCAAAGGATTGTGGGTAAAGTCAGTGCCATGCAGCTCTGAAATGTGGAAAGGATTTTAGGAGGATTTGGCAGGGTGCGAGGGAAGGGAACGGAGAAAGAGAAGGGGCACATTGCAGAGAGAAAATATTACCTCCGTTTCTCGACCAAAGCGGTCAATGCTACTCCTTTTATGTCCCTTTTACCCGCTAAGAGTTCCTCGCGGGAGAACTTAGTGCTGCTTTTGTGA